TCTTAGGTGACTTCAGTTATCTATGATGTAATTAATTATAAGAGCTTGCCCTTATAAGAAGCTTTTCCCTAACCTAGCATAATATAAACCCTATTTAATTCCTTATATTAAATAGGGGAACTTGTCGGCCAATACATTGGTTTCGTAGATCAAACAGATGTCATAACTTTCTCTAGTTTATTTGATCGAGTCTCACCCTCAATTCTTGTGTTCATCCTTCGGGATAGATACAAGATTTGAGGTAAAACGCTCTTTCATCTAAACTATGAAAATTATGGGGTCAGTTTGACTTCATCTTTTTCAAAACTAAAATTTTTAAAACGTCCTTCCGAAGCGGGCAACGGGATTTCAATTCCGATGACCGACAGCTTCTTACGGGCAAACCCCACACCAAAAATAGTGCCGACATGTGCTAATGTGTATTATTCTTCCTCTTCCCTCTCTCTTGTGTGTTGTCATGGATTGTATGGCATGAAAATACTCCCAAGAATCGTTTGAGTCGAATGACCTTGGAAGTTTCAATTCTCTTTGCAGGAGAAGCGAGAGAGATTCAAAGCCTTTGCATTTCCGGTCCTATTATCCAGCTTCGAACGACCGCTAGGCATGAGAGAACGATATTTCATTTCTCTATCAACTTTGATTTTCTATAAATATCAGTTTAAAATAGGTCTTCTCTTGTTACTTTGTAAGGAGATTCGATCAATTTTGGGATGTTATTAGGTTATTTCTGCCCCCCACGTTCTTACCTAAATTCGTGGATTTCATAATGACTTTCATCTTCTTTTGTCAAAGGGTGAAGATCCATTGGTCGGTTGACTTATTCAACCATTTCTTCAACTTCTAAATCAATCGGGATGACTATGTTCAGTTTTTTGTCAGCTCTAAGATGTCATCTGGTGGGGCTTGAGAATAAGATAAAATATTGAAAAGTTAAACTCCTAGTGGGCTCTTGCGCTAATGGCTGGGGGATAGACACAATTCCTAAGGAAAGTGAGGTAAAGAAAGTGAAGATACTTTCGGGTAATCTCAGAGCTCATAAGGTGTTGATCGAGGGTCAAAGTTTTTTCGTTATTTCAATACCTCAATCCGACGTGATAGAGTGTATCCTTTGACCCAACAGTGGTGAGACCATGAACGATGGGTTTTGGGTGTCATCAGACTCTCTAGAAGTGGCTCGATAGATGATCATCGAGAAGAGGGCGGTTTCGAAGACACATTGAGGGAAAATCCTTCTTCGTTTGGGAGAGGTGAGGGTCGATCTGTCTCCAATGGTTCGACTGCAAAAAATATTGAAGGTAAACATATTTTCCTCGGTTTAGTTGTTTGTGCGTATGAATTTGTGTTTATATTGTTTTAGCGTTATCTGAAGGGAGTGGCGGGATGTCCTCGAGACTCGTGGTATCATATTTTTGGGCTTCTTTGGCCTGTCATTTGATCGTGGGTTTGCCTGATCTAGCAGGGGCAGACCATTGTTCTCGTCGAATCTTGATAGGGACCGAGTTAGAAAGAGAACCATGAGATGTTGAAAGGGCGGAGAGTGATGTTCCTCAGAGGAAAGGATATGCTCTTGTTTTAGAAGTTGAGCTGCCTCCTCCTCCGAGAGTGGTCATTCTCTCATGACCGAGAGATTGGGGTTTGGACAAGCATTCATTACGATTTTCTTAATAGAGAAATCGAGGGGTACCCTTTCATCCCCTTGAATGTCAAATACCCGTTGACCTTGCTGGAGGTGTTTTGGTCTCCCGCCTTTGCAACACACCTGAGAATGATGGACAAACAATATATGTATCAAACAATTGATCGCTGCAATGTTCTTGCATGGGAGGCCTCACATTTCCTGGGGCTTCTTTTGGATTGGGCCGAAAAGAAAATTGAGTAGGATGCCTCGTAGATAGAAAAAAATTGAGGTGAAGAGCCACCATGGCCGAGGAAAGGCAGAAACTGTCTCTAGAGCAAAGGGAGTTGGAGGCTCGAAAACATGAGACCCTTCTTAAGGAGCACGAAGATCTGTTAGAGATGGTCTCCTCTATGGTTACTCAAAAAGACAATGTTGTGGGCTATTCCCTCAGATTGAGGTTATTACGTCTCTTGTTGTGGAGAGATTTGTGAAGCATTGGCTAGTTGATCTCAAGTGGCGGGACATGATGGAGTTCAATATGTTTTTCTCAGATTTGAAGGGTGGAGAACAAGTGTCGTCAAATGGGAAGTCGGATGGCGTCAGGCTAGCTGAAGAAACTAGGGAAGAGGGTGATGGAGAATCTTCTAATGTGTATAGATGACTGGCAATCTCTTTTTTAGTTTTCTTTCATTTTGAAGTTTACACATGCTCGTATAAAAACTTTGTAACTCAACTTTTGTAAGCTTACTATATAATGTGAGGGATTAGTGTTTCGAGTTTTCTTTCTTGCACTCCATAACTGTTTTTCTTTTTGGGTAATTTCCTAATTGTCATGATTGGTTGGCAAGCGCATGGATAGAAATCCATGTAAATTAGCCATAGAATATCGTTCATGTATCCCTCGCGGAGCTTGTCATTGTCGATACAATTATTGCAATCAACAATGGCTATTATAGCTTCAAAAAATAGCTTATGTAGCCAATTACAATTGTTATAACTACCAATTATAATTATTATAACATCACGACTTTGGTAACCCTACACTATGACAATTATAACTGCCAACTACAGCTTTTGTAGCTAACTAACTACCAATTACAACTTTAGTAGCATTGCTACATATGTTATAGCTACCGACTATAACTTATGTAACTATTATCGATATAAACTTTAATTACCAATTTGGTAGCCCTATTATTGTTGTTATAACCACCAACTATAACTTTCGTAGCAAACTACAGCTGTTATAACCACCAATGATAATTTTTGTAGCCAATTACGATTGCTATAGCCACCAACTATGACATCTGCACCCAACCACGACTGTTATAGCCTTTAACTACTGTTTTTATGGCCAACTATGATTTATGTAGCTAAGTACGTTTGTTATAGCCATCATCTATAGCTTTTATAGCCAGTTATGACCATTATAGCTACCAATTATGCCTTTGCTAGCCACACCACATTTGTTATAGCCCCGCTATGTCTATTGCAGTCGTAGTACGTCAATTATAATCCCAACCACCCTTATAAGTTAAATTTGTCTGTTTATTTTATAATCACAACTTCTCTAATTCATATAAAAAGTAAACTATTACACTCTTCATTATGTAGTGAATTATTTTAATTTTTCAATATAAAAAAAATGATGGTTCTGTGCACTTTTTATTCGTGTTTGCTTGAAAATTATATTGACATAATGCATAGAATTTTACTTTACTAGAGAATTTTTTCTAGTACTCACCAATATTATTATTAACCTCTTAAAAATATTACATCAAACTTTATAAATATAAATATAAAAAAAAATTAGGAGATAAGTATTTAGGAAATATTGGGTATGCATGTAAAATTTCCAAATATAAAAGGAAACTTTTTGAAGTTTCAAGACACCAATCAGCTGTTCCGGATGTTCTGGATTTGTTCTACTTGATTCGCCCCGCGGTGGCCTACTCGACCGCGCGATGCTTTTAATTTTTATATATTTTTTATTTTAATTTCTTCTGATACTTTCTCCATGGAGTCTTCATCGGTTACAAGGAAGAATTTTGGAAAACTTCAGCAGAAATCAACGCAATAAGTTGCAACGTATGAAGCGATCTGCGGTTGAGAAGTCCTTTCGCGTCTTCCACCGGCCTGCGAGGACAGACTGAGGGGAAGATTTGAGGTAAAAGTCTTCTGAGATCCGGTTACAAGATGACTTAAATTGTTCAAGATCTCCTTGCCCTCGTGTTCGATTGATCTGGAGAAAACTGGGCGGAGTTAAATAAGAAGATGCAGAGGCGTGGGTCCAACCACCGTCTCCCAGCGCTTCTGTTCCGCTCGCGAATTTCATACGTGATGCTAGCTATGGTGGCAACTATGTCGGCCGTCTACGTCGCAGGCCGGTGAGAGCTATTTTGTTGTCTGCGCGCTTGTTATTCGAATTCTGATTGGGGTTGGTTCCTTGATTGGGGATTTTAGGTTGTGGCAAGATGCGCAAAACAGGGTTTATCTTATTAAAGAACTGGATGGGAGAACGGGGCAGGTAGGGTGATCTTTTTGAAGTATTTCGAAGCTGAATTGTTTTGATTTATTGAATCTTTTTACAGGGGCACCCGGCTATATCAGTGGATGATACACTGAAGGTGGTGGCTTGCAGGTACTTGTTGAAAGAAATGGAGTATTTGTATTTTGATGTTCGTTTTTGGGTGTTTTGAATGTGAAACTCTATGTTCAGAAACCAGCATAAGAGACTAGCGGCACTAGAGATGGAACTGGCTGCAGCAAGGCAAGAAGGCTTTGCTGGAAGGTACAATCCAGAGATTAATGGAAATCACACTAGGAAGAGGCTGATGGCTGTAATTGGGATTACTACAGGATTCGGCCAGAAAAATAACAGGGATGCTATTCGGAAGACATGGCTTCCTACTGGTAGATCGCTTGCTTCTTTCTTATTTTATAATTGGTGATTTTATATGGTTAAATTATGTTGAGATTTGACGTTATCTTTATTAAATGTCAAAACCTTGAAGTTCAATGAGAAAATCGGAACAAGTGTGGTGCATCATTTTCTTATCATAAAAATTTTTCCATTCTTTTTTCCCTCCTTAGATCCACATGTGTGGTGCATCATTTTCTTATCACATAGCTAATCCAAATGAAAAACGAACTGACAATTTGCTTGCACCAGACAATTGATTTTATGGTTTATCTTGAATAAATACCAGCATATCTTCAAGACTTCAACAATAAACTTTTCTTTTCAGACAGTATGTATACGAACCAAATGTATGCAGGATGATTTTAGGGAGTAGGATAAAGGAATATGCAATGACTGACATGTTCATTTTCGCATGTTGAACATAGAGAAAAGTAATCTATGGGAAAATGTAGGATTAATGTAAAACGACAGGAAAGTAATGACATCAGCTAAATAAAACATTGTTAGAAGATATTCAGTGATATTTTGTTAAATTGGATTTGACACCACATTTCATTATACATGATTGTATGGAGTAGAATACCTCAAATTTTGGATGAGGTTTTTGTTGGTCGTCATTGTCACACCCAAATCCGGAATATGGTATATCCAGACTAAGCGTGTCTCAAATTGACCAACCATGTTAACTCGACCCGAACTGGACTTGAAAAATCTGAGTTTAGGTTGACCTGAATAATTTTCAGGTCTGGTTCGAGTTGAGTTGGCGTGTCAGGTTAATTTTTGACATCCATAGAACTAAAGTTTAGTTGACATCATATACATCCTCTTATAAGATATTGTATACTTGAGAGAGATCTGGATCTAATTGAAGAGTGACTGAATTTTATCGAATGCCCTTAACAGCCATTCTCATGCTTTTATTGATAATTATTTTAACAAAGATGAACCAAAAAGGATATATATATATATATATATATATATATATATATATATATATATCGGGAGAAGCTTGAGAATATGTCTAATTAAAAATTATATATATATTCTCATTTTGTTTGTTTATATGTGCAGGCGTAGCTTTGAAAAAGCTGGAAAAAGATAAAGGAATTGTAATACGATTTGTGGTAGGAAAAAGGTTAGTGATTTGGTTGATAATTTGGAAGAAAAGCTCTTTTAACTTGTTGCTTGACAATGTTAATCTTGATCGTTGGCATACAGTGCAAATCGAGGAGATAGCATGGACAGAGATATTGATGAGGAGAGCAAGCAGACAAATGACTTCCTAATCCTGGTTTGTTCAATGAATTTTCCTTGAGTTCAAAATCATTTTCGTGACAACACATATAATAACTAACCATTTTTTGTTACCAATTCACAGTTTTAATTGGTTATATTTGATCTGGTGCTTTTGTATTTTCATGTGGGTTGTTATTTACTCAGAAGCAGTTTTGTTTAGTTTTCATATTTGTTTTTGTTTTGGGGCATAATTGTCACAGTATATGCCGATGAATGTCGTAATTTTCTTTTATGAATCATGTTAAGAGCATAGTTCAGTTTTGGGTTCCTTGAGACATTTATGTTGGCACAGCTTAGTATGTGGGGAGGGAGGGAGGGAGGGAGGGAGCGAGCGTGAGCGAGAGAGAGAGAGAGAGAGAGAGAAAGAGAGAGAGATATTTAAATACGGTAAGCATGAAAATGAGTTGAATGTGCAATGATGGATACAACAACAACAACAACAAGCCTTTATCCCACTGAGTGGGTCGGCTATATGAATCCTTTTTCTTCATTATGTCTTATTAAATGTCATATTTTCATTTAATTCTAATAGATTAAGATCATTTCTTATACAATGCCCAAGCCTTTTTAGGTCTACTTCTTCCTTTCTTAATATAAGTTGAATCTAAACTATCTACTATTCTAACTAGATCATCGGATGGTAGACGTTTAGCGGGACCAAACTATCTAAGACGACTCTTTCTAATATGGTTTGCAGTTGGAGCTACACCAACCCTTTCACAGATAGATTCATTTTGCATTTTGTCTCTAAGTATCAAGCCACTCATCCACTTAATCATTCTCATTTTAATGCTTAACTTGGTTTTATGCTTCTCTTTTAAAGACTAACATTCTGCGCCATAAAGCATTGCAAGTTTTGCCACTATCTTATAATTTTTTTTTAAGTCTAAGTGGTACTTATCTATCACATAATAGACCTAATGCATTCCTCCACTTCAACCAACCAACCTGATTTTTACTAATAATATCTTCATCTATATGACCATATTATATCGGAACTAGTAGGAAAAAATAGTGGAAACACAAAAGCAAATTTTTATTAATATTGAAATGGGGATTACAACCCGACAAAACGGAAAGGGGAAACACAGTAACAAACCAATCTTCGATTAAGGCCGAATGAGAAGATGCGTGGTCGAAGTGGCGTTGGCTACGGGGTGAATGTATGGGAAAAGGTGATGGTTGAGAGGTCGGTTAGGAAGGGTTAGGAGGTGATTTGGGAGGCCGGTAGGGGAACTGGGACAAAGGCGGGGTGGTTGGACTGCCGGATCTACTACAGGAAACTGGCCGCTGTTGTCAGATGAAGTTTGGGGAGTGGAACAATAAGGTTATGCTGTTGGTGGAAGGATGGTTGGGTGCTGGAAGGGGGAAAAGGAGAGGGCATTGGCTGGGAAGAGGGGAGGAGAATCAGAAGGGAAGATAAATCACCACCTCGGAGTATGATACAACCGGACATCACCACCTTTCCATATACAATCCTACAAAAGGGAAAATGACTCAACACAGAAAATCTAAAAGCAAACTCAACCAAGACCAACCCTAACTCTCACTAACAAGTATATAAAAAGACTCAAAATAAGAAAGAACAAAAAAAAAAGAGAAGGGTTGACGGTATTGACACCCTTCCTAAAATGCAGCTTGATCTAGCGATATGCGGGGAAGGAAGGAAATTCTGCTCGACTCCTGTTGCAACCGTATCGATCGCCTTGGTGGTGCTTGGACCGGCTCCCCTATGCCAGTAAGTTCAACCGGTTGGCTTGTTTCCCTCCTTGGTGCGAGAAATGCCCGCACTCGCGCCAGTCTCCTGGAGTTAGCAGAGCTTCGACCTTAGTCATCGAACCTTTTGGTTCCTTGTCTCTAATCATACCGACACCTGGGTCCCACTGCCATTTGCTCTGGCGGCCAAATTATCGAAGAAGTGGACACCACTTGCTCGCCCAGGTCCTCATTAGTCTGCTCTTTTGAGACAGTGATCCATGCCTGCACTGCTAGATCCTTCTCAGGTAACCCCGGTCGGGTCAGTCTGAAGTGCCGTGAGAGTAGCTTGCATCTTCCTATCTTGTGGTGGTGCTGGTGGTGTCGACTGTGAGGCTCTGACATTCTCTATGGTATAATTATCCCATGTTTGGAGCCAGTGGCTCAGTCCTCTTATCCTATGTCATCATTAGAACTGGTCCCATTGACGTTGTTCTGCTAGTAAGGACTCCTGTGATCTAAGGCCCTGCCGATGAAAGTAAAATGTTGCGCTTCCCCTCATTGGTAAATGAATAAGTGATTTTAAATCCATTGTGTTGAGTCCTCCAGTCAAATTGCAAAAGGTGACGAGCATCCTTAGAGACCATGTCACACCACACCTAGTCCCCCAGCTGGCCTCCGATCGAGAACTCTACCAAACATCTTCGATTGATGTTGATCTAATTCTCCTTCTTTAGCCATGTCGGTGAGTATGGTTGGGAGTGATTTTTGAGTCATGAGTCCCAATTTTTGTACTATGTAGGTCGATGCCACATTCGTGTTGCTCTCGACGTTAATGATAAGATTGCATACATTTCCATTCACTGATAGGACTCATCGAACTACGAGTTTCTCTCTTTCATCGCGGGGAAGATGAAGTTTCTCACTCTAGTCCCCTGCTGTCTCCTACTCGCTAACCTCTTCCACGACGCCCTGATCTGTAAATGTGACTATTCTGCTCGTGGGATAGCTGAAGTCGATGTTACCGTAGCCTTGACATCTGTAACACTTCCTGACCGACACAGTGTTGGAGGAGCTACCCTTCTCATGTTTCTTCCCACTTTGGTCTAGAGTGTCACTCCCTTGCTTTGGCTTATCGACGTCTTCCAGGATACTTTTGTCAGTCGTTGTAACTATAGGAGGCTGCCTGCCTGATGGTTGTTGTTTGAAGGATGACTGTTGCTCAGCTTCTGCTGCCTCTCCACCTTTAGGGCTAGTGTTTGAGCATCTCTAAGCAAAGAATAAGGCTGCAATTGCACCACATTGCTGATAGTTAACTTCAAGCAATCCCCCCACCGCCCCCCCCCCCCCCCGGGATAATGGCCAACAACGTGCTCCTCTGGCTCGACTAGATCATACCTCATCTACAACTATTTAAACTGCTCCGTAAACTTTTCTACTGACAGATCCTTTACTGCATGTGGTGGACTCGCAGAAACATGGCCTGACGATAATGGGGTAGGACGTATTTCCTCCATCGTATTTTTTATCTTTTTCTACTTGGTAATCTTATTGTTGCCTTCTCTATTCCTTTGTCGTTGTAAGTTCTCCCACCATAATGAGACATTTTTCTTCAATTTGATAGCAACTAATTTGACCCTCTCATCCTCTGGCATATCCTTATACTCGAAGATCCGTTCAACAGATTGCAGCTAATCAATGAAGCCTTCAGGATTCATACCCCCCTCAAATTCTTGTAGATCAACTTTGACGTCAAAGTCTCTGTACCTTCTAAATGATATCTCCTCTCTGTGAGTCTCCTTTTGAGGGGATTCAAATACCCCTTTCTAGGCCTCATCTAAGACTGAATTCTGAAGCGTTTTGGTCTATCTTCTTTGTTGCTGAAATTATCCCTATGGAAGGGATTTAGATCCTCATCTCTTTCTCCTCTTCAACTCTTCAGATCTCGATCAAAGGGAACTTCTTCCTGTATTAATTATTCAATCTCTGCAAGCCTTTGTTGAAGGTGACGGAGCTCCCGCTTTATCTCTTCCTGAGTAGGCTCAGGCATATATCTTTTGGGTGGCATTGTTAGGTTTTAAGAATAGTAAGGAAAATTTTGGCGGATATAGGGTTTGGGGAAATCAGAAAAAGTGGTTGAGGGTAGGAATGGAAAATTTTGGTGGGGAGGGTAAGGCGGGCGCTAGGAAACCCTAGGATAGGGCTAAAGTTATGCTAGCTCTGATACCAAATGATACCAATATTTGTAGGAAAAAATAGTGAAAATACAAAAATAATTTTTTATTAATATTAAAATGGGGGTTACAATCGACACAAATGGAAAGGGAAAACACAATAACAACCACCCAATATTCGGCTGGGGTTGAAAGAGAAGATTCGAGGTTGGAGTGGTGTTGGCTACGCGTGAATGTGTGGGAGAGGGTGTTGGTTGCAAGATCAGTTAGGAAGGGTTAGGAGGTGATTTGGGCGGCATGTAGTGGAACTGGGACAAAGGAGTAGTAGTTGGAGAGCCGAATCTATTGCAGGAAAGTGGCGACTGCTGTCAGATGAAAGGTTGGGGAGTGGAACAACAAGGTTATGTTGTTGGTGAAAGGATGGTTGGGTGCTGGAATAGTGAAAAGGGGTGGTTGATGGCTGTGAAGAGGGGAGGAGAAGGAAAAGGGAGGATAAATCATCACCTCAGAGAATGATACAACCGGAGCACCACCGTCTCCTTGAATACAACCCTAACAAATGGAAAATGACTCAACACAGGAAATTTGAAAGCAAACATAACCAAGCCTAACCTTAACTATCACTAACAAGCATATAAATAGACCCCAAACAAAAAAGAATAAAAAATGGCAGGTGGAGAAGGGTTGGTTGCATTGCCGCCCTTCCTAAAATGCCGCTCGATTGAGCAGGACGCAGGGAAGGAAGGAAATCCCTCTCAACTCTTGCTAAAACCCAAACTGGTCCCCTCAGTGGTGCTTGGATCGGCTTCCCTATGCTGGCTGGCTTTTTTCCCGCCTCTGTACGGGAAACGCCGTCACCCACATCATCGCTTTGAATAATAGACCCGAGGTATCTAAAACATTCACACCTTTTAATGATTTGATCACCCTTAGTTACAACTCTGCCACTAATGATTGTCATAATTATTCGACAAAATTTTATGCTGGTTGCCGACTACCCAACGCAACCCTCCACTTTTCGTATCCTTCAAAGTTGTGCATTTAGCATTAAAAAAAACAAAAAGTACAAAAAATAGCTATAAAAGCTATCAAAAGAACCAGTATGGTTGGCTTCATCCTCAATCAC